TCCTTGCTACATTGCTTTCTCTTGTGGGTGGGAAGCTCATTGTACCAGCTGATGAAAGTAAGTAGTTGAATGCCTTGGCAGTTAAATATGCTCTTCCCTAGAAATGAGACTTAGGTAAGAGGAAATGTTTTGAACTAGATCAAAAGAAGGAGGTAAGCACCTAGAAGCTGGTGTCATAACAATTAAGGTTTAAGGGGAATCTGGAATCTCACCTTAAGCTCTTTAAGTGTAGGTAATGCTGAAAAACCTGATCAGTCACTCTTGAGTGGCAAAACCTTCATGGTCAATAGGAGGTAATGAACAGTGGTGTGCTGTCAATCTTGGCTGTTGTACAGAGCTACAGACATTGTACCTTTGCTCATTTTTGATATGCCTTCCAGCATCTTGTTTTCAAGGGTTTTAAGCCACTTTTAAAACCGAGGAATTGCCGAAGCTTTGAAGTTCAGTTCTTTTCTTTGCTTGGGGGATAACAGATCACATCTCCTGCATCATGCTGAAATATTCTAATACTAGGAGCTCTTCTAAAGAGTCCTTGGATGAGAGTTGTTGGACATTAATCAACAACAAGCTCTTGTCATTGCAAAGTGGTTAATTATTGTTGGGCCCAGCAGCTACAATTCGTGCTATTTAGACATTTGTTTCTGGCATTTATGATCATGTACAGAGTGAAATTAAATGCAAATGATGGTTAAAGAGATTCTTCATCACTGAAACTATACAGAGTCACTAAAGAATGAGAACCTTCCCCCTTGTTGGGGCAAGCAGACAGATACGGACCACGAAACTTGAGCCAAAAAACATATGTATGCATTTACATAATGAAAAATACTATACATTTAGTGTGGGAAATGGTACAACTTCCTCCCAAATTAAATTAATTTAGCCTTTCACTCTGAAACTGATCTGTCTCATCCATCTAAGGAACTTGAAGGAGAGATTGGCTCTAAAGCCTTACACAGTTGACTGTAGCAACTTCTTTCTAATAGATGCAACTCCAAGTGGAATACAGAGAAAACAGAAGCCTGGTGGTCACAGTTGATAAAAAGGTCATAGCAAATCAGCTGGAGAAAAAAAAAACCCAACAAATTTTTCCACTTTTATCTTAGGGTACCCAAGGTTTTTGTGTGGTTGCCTGTTTATTAGTACTGTCTGTTTAGGAGTTGTGCTTAAACACCTTTATTTGCCTTTTACCATGGCCTAGTTTGAAGGAAGAGTCACAACAAAACAGCTTTACTCAGGAACATGGCACTGGGAAGCCTTATCAGTTACCTAACTCCCTTCTCTGTCACATTCCCTTCTCTTCCCAGGGAGGAAATATGGTGCTGCCTCTGTTGAAGCAGCAGTGGGACTATGGCTTTGGAGAGTAAGAGTCTTTGGTGTTCAGTGGTGATCAGGTAGGGTCCTCAGCATGCAGCAAGACCTAGGGAAGAAGGATTAAACCTAGGAAGTCACCACTGAGTTTTGGGTGGTGGAGTAGGGAATGTTCTCTGTTCTTCTACAAAACTTCTGCCACACAAAAAGATTTTTCAGGGTTATTTCAACCATAAAGACAGAGCAGGTTCTTGTCTTCTGGTAGTCAGAACATTCCTTGGGGAGCATTATTTATTATTTTTATCTAATAAGAGGGGGATTTTATCCTAAGCCAGGGACCTGTTTATAGGCATCTTCAGAGAGCAGTAGCTACTTCTGGACAGTATTTTCACAGCAGCTGGGCCCAGATCACCTCCAAGAGGGAAACTAAATCTGCTTGTACGTTCTTGGTACCTACTGTGCTTGCTAGCATATTGTGTAATTGACTGGACCTTACCTCCATTTGTCTGGAAGCTGTGTAATTTTAGAAGGAGCCCAGTTGAACAGCACATCAGGAGAGTGCACTAAGGGTGCACACTGAACTGAGCCCCTGAAGCATTCCAATGGCCAAATGTTTGATCTCTAGGAAAGATATGTGAGTCACAGGGGGATGAACACACAGTGCAGTAACACTGAAGGAACTCCTGCAGATCCAGCTAGGTTGAGGATTCAGGAAAGAGTAAGAACAAAAATTACTTGTCTCAAAAATAACTATGGCACAGGGAAGCCTTAGCAAGCACCTACTTCTCTAGCACATGGAAAAGGTTTCTGGTTTTCAAACACACATTTGAAATTACTTACTCCTTTATCTTCAATGGCTCTGCTAAATATTACTTTTAATTTCAATCAGGTATTTTTTTAAATGGAGAGATGCTTAGCAGCATAAAAAAAAAAAAAAAAAAAAAAAGGAAAAACAACCCAAAAGATCTATTTAATAATTGATAACAAATATTCTTCCTCGTTCATCCTACTCAAACCTTTGCCTTTCACCAAGATGATAATTTCAAGATCAAGGTAATATTAAGTGTTTTTACAGTGGCTTTTAGAGGGCAGAATTCCCCAGCTGCATGGCAACCAGCATTCCCGCCCTTTGCAAACGCCGCACTCCGGCCGGCTGTCGCTGAAAGCTCGCACTTGGGGGCCTGGCCTCGGCTGTTTCCTGCCACCTGGTGGCTGCCTGGCGTTACTACCGCTAATTTCCGTGGGCTCTGGGCAACCGATATCCTGAACAGCTGAGCGAGAATCACAGAACGCGGAAGGAAGGGCTGAGGTTGGCAGGGACCTCTGGAGTCCACCTGGCCCCTGCCCAAGCAGGGCCTCCTAGAGCCGGTTGTGCAGGGCCATGTCCATGGGACTTCTGGATTCTCCAAGGAGGGAGACTCCATCGCCTCTCTGAGCGACCTGTGTTAATGTTGGTCACTTGCACCTGGAAACAGTTTCCTGATAGACACAGGGCATCTCCTGTGTTTCAGTGTGTGCCCATTGTCTCTGGTCCTGTCACTGGGCATCCCTGAAGAGAATCTGGCTCCCTCCTCTTCGCACCCTGTTCTATTTTAGAAAGTTTGACATCCACTGAAGCTTTTCATAGGAAAAAAGCTCTTTACATTTAGACACTTAAATTAAAAACTCACCTTCCCTTTTACATGTGTTTTACTGTCTGATTGACGGCATCTGTATTAGTGAATATCTGACCCATGCAGGTTTATAGAAATGAGCTGGCTAATTACACCCTACACATTTTTTCCATATCAATATATGAACCAGATTCACTGTTTTCTGTTTTGGCAGTGGTATTGACTTTAGGGCATGACCACAATATTAGTGCAGTGTAACACAGAAATCAAGGGGTGTATCTTGTGTGACAGCATGCAGTAAAAAAAAAGATCAGTGGGTCCTGAGGGATGCTCAGCATTTAGCAGTTCATTCCTTGCCGGAATCAACCATCAAACACAGATCAGTCTTGCTTCTGAAAACTTGGTGGCTGCAACTGCTCATGGTTGAGATGACTCATCAAATGACTCTTTTGCAGTTTGGCTATTTCTATTCTTAAGATAAACTTGATTTTTCACAAAATGAGTTTTTAACCTTTAATTGTTCACAAATTCATGTAAAGTAGAAGCAGAACTTTGTTCATTTAGCACTCCTTCGTAATTTTAAATTTAATGACAGGTTGCAGGGAAAGAACAGTCCAACCTACTGGAAATGTATGACAAGTATTTTTTATGATGACCAAACTGAACTGACAAAAGGTGGTTATGGGTTTGTTGTTATGTGGTTGACTAAGAGTGCTGGGTATGATCTATTTTAGAAGTCCCTCTCCTACTTTTCTGGTGTTCAGTAATGCATTGACTTGGTATCCTTTTCTTCAGTGGAAGCAATTGCCTTGGATCTGTCCATGAAAGGCCTGCATGTCCTTTTCTTTTAAACTTCTGCCCTCTGACAAAGGTCTGAGGTGTGCTCAGACTGTCAGGCATGTGTTGTTACTTGACAGGACCTATTTCTGCTAAGTAACCAGTCAAAGTAATGTACTTAACGTGAATGCTAAGGTGAAGGTCTAGCCATGAAGGAATTTGCCTTCAAATGTTTTAAGGAGAATCAGATCAGCCTTCACGGACTTTGTATTTGATGGAGGAGTTAAATCCCTCAGAGGAACTGTAAGAATTTGCCTCTGTAGTGATTCAGGGCTGTCTTGCTGCTTTCTGTTTATCATCAGGATTTGATACCTGGTTTGTGCCTTACCTCCAAAGCAGTAAGTGGCATCCTGCTGCTGCATAATGCCTTGTCCCCTCTTTGATGCTGTATGAAAGAAAAAGTCGGTATCTCAGGCGAGAATGCTCCAGAAAGAGATTATTTTGTGGAACACATTACAATTACGATATAAGGATTAAACAGCCCTTCAACAATCCTTTTATCATGACAAGTATGCGATGCCCATTCTTCAGAGATGAGGCACATCCAAGTGATATATGGAGTGGACCACCTGTGATTGAAGCCATATAGAGAAACAACAGGAAAGGCTAAAAATAGAAGGCAAACCATACCAACTACATCATGATCATCTCCCTAGACATAATCCCTGGAAGATACAGGTGTACCTAGAAGTGAGAATCATGAAAACCTCAATTTGCTGGCTGTCACCAAAGTTATGTGCATGACACTTCAAGTTTATCTACCAGCATACAGAATATCCTCTACTCACTGTGAGGTGGATTATGGCAGCAAAAGTGGTGCTATTTTAGTGAAATGGGAGGAGGAGCTACTTTTTCTCACTCTACCTTTTGAAACATGGTTTAAGGAAGAGAAAGCCTATAGGACAAACAGTGGAATAGGTTAAGCTCTGAACAACTTTGTTTTTAAACAAGTACATTTTCCTTTTTATTTCATAAGAAGTTTACTTGTTGAAAAAATGATATATATTAAAGCAAACACAATTATACACATAGGTTAAACATCAGATAGCAAAACTGTAAGGAATGAGCACTACTGGTTGTATTGTATAGGGTTTACAATCAAACGTATACTTAAAAACCCTTAAGAGTTAATATACTTTCAAGGTAAGTCAGGCACAAAATTTAGCTTGTAACTAGCTCTGCAAGCATGTCACTGTGATTTAACTGACACAAAGTATTACAAGTGATCAAAAACATAAATTGACTTTTAAAATTTTTGAAGTTTTATTTGTACTATGTGCTGAAATAGTACAAATGTATACAATACTCCACCTTTGTTAAAAAAAAGCATAGGGACTGTAAAGTAGAGTCAAAGGGCTAAACCAGAAATCACCCCTTTATTTGGGCTCCTAATTAGTATGGCATAAATCTATGGCTTTGCTTTGTGAACGTATTTGAAACTGAGTAACTCCTACAAATGTGGGGAAAAAGCCTGAGGATGCTACTTTTAATGAACATGATGAGTTACAATACAAGTATTTTAAAGGAACTTTATAAGTAAGGGCAACTAGCTGGTATCAGATGTGTCTGTCTTCCTTGGTTTTCTGTATAAGACACAAAATAAAATGTGAAATTTTAAAAAGTGAGAGATTGTGTCACCCAGAAAGAAAAAAAAAAAAAAAAAGGGGGAAAAAAGAATTCCAAGGAGCAAAAAACCTTCAAGTAATTTCCTGCAAGGTTTTAGCATTGATGAGGCTCTAGCTTAGAAAGAATTACTAATTTGCAAGAAATGAGAGGGCAGCAGCAAGTCTGTGAACCATAGTAAAATCTTACTTCACAGAAAACTTCTAAATATGCATATTATAAACATTTTTGATTAGATGGCCAGATTTTTTTTTTCATTTTCAGTTAGCAAAATATATTGCTGTGGTGAAAGTTGTCCTTTTTTGCTTGTTTGAAACGGAACACGTTATGATTGCCACAGAACTGCAAGAAACTGCATACTTTCTACAGGTACATTTTTACTGCATCATACAGGAATTGCTTAAAAGGCAAAAATAAACACCTTGAAGTCTTAATGCTGTTTTGATTAGCAGAAATACAAAAAGGAATGCACTGAAGCAAGATGATAAAAAAAAGTGTATCATGCAGTACGTTTGCTTAATGTATACAAAATTTCAAACCAATGATGTGACTGGAAGGTGGGGGGTTTAACCTATTGCATTCTCATTCAGAATTAAAACTGTATGTGAAGGCAAACTGTGTGGAGACGTGACCAGGACCGGGCTGCCTAACAAAAGGGTGCCAGATGTGTAGTTGTTCCTAGCATGCAGAGCTAATGCTTGAAGGCCTATGACAGCAGCATGAACTCCTGCTACCTCTAGTTCTTTACATTACTGCTTTGTGTGTGCTGGCCGCAGCCTGGCCGTGGTCAGCAAGTGCTCTATGGCGTGAGGATGTCAACCCACAATCTCTGCGGGTTCAGTGACCAACTTAGATCCATCCCATGCTGTCTTGAACTGTTCAGGAACCGGAAATTCTTTCTGGTAGGAAACAAAAGCAATAAAGATGGTTAAACAAACAGGGGATATCTCATGAAAACTGGTGGAATACTATTAGTTCTACATGACTGCGAAAGCATTGATAGCTCAGACATGCCAGGATTAGAGAGAAGCCTTCTTCATTACCCTAGGAAGTTATTTTACAGTGCCACACAGGAAAAAAGCCTGATTGCTACCCAGTTTCAAATAGCCTTGGTATGGTACGACTTTGCAATAATCTCTCTCACACCATTATCTGCATCAACTAAGTAAATAAGCCTCGTCAGAAATTACTTCAGATTCCATTGATGTCTGGGTTGGAAGACAGTAGAGAGGATTTAGATGTGGAGATTAACCCAGGAGTCTAATTTTAAGGACAAAAGCAATACTGTAATATGGAAGAATAAAATAGCATTTAAAAACCTAGTAATTTTAAGTGTGGTACACTTCAAAATAGTCAGCATCCTTTCTGGGGTACACAAAATGAAGCAGAACATCAAATTCAGTGCCCTGCTATTCTACAAATTGCGTGAAATGATCGGGTATGTTGTTGAGTATTTCTCTGCACCCAGTAAACAAAAAATTATGTAAAGAGAAGGATTTTTTGTTTAGACCTCAAAGAGGTGTTTTGGTATCCAGTAATTTCTGATGTTATGGTGTTTTTGAGGCAAGACTGAACAAAAGAACTATTTTTAAAAAATAAATAAGTGAATATGAACCCACTAAAAATTGTTCCCTTTTTACTTGTCTAAAGCTGGGCATCCAGCAGTCACTTTTGGAAATGTGAAGCACAAAAGTTCTCATTTTATTTTATAAAGCCTAAACCCCTGTACTAAATTCCAGCCCAAAAGACTAACAAGAAATTTAAGTTCTGTCTATGGCCATGCACTGCAATTTCAACTCTGCTCTATTGATGACACCAGGGAACTATTACGAGCACACTTTGCCTGCTTGTGTGTGAAGTGACAGAGCATGACTTTACTAGAAAAGCCACTGTGCATTATATGAAAATTTTACTAGAAGGGGAAAGGAACTGGAAAAATGCACCAGTTTAAGTGGCTTTTAAGGACGTATGTTGAAAACAGTACAAAGTACTACAGCTGCTACCCATGTATCAATAGCTTTAGAGAAAACAAGTAAATTATACTGTATTATTTCACCCGTAGTAGCTTTACATTTATCTTAGTTTTAGCCTCATCATCTTCAGACTTAAGTGCTCTTCTGTGAAGGTAATTTCTTTGGGAGATTATATTTAGATATAAAAAAAAAGAAGATCAAATGGATAGGACATGAAGCCATTATCCATCAGAATGGAAAGAGAGGACATAATTTCTGATCTCTGAAATTACTTTGTGCCCCAGAAAATGAGGAATGCTTCCTTCTGAGATATAGGTACATAGAAATTAAATTGTTTTGGATCATTTTTTAGTGACATAGTTATGTGTGTTACATTAGTTTCTTTCCTAGGAGCTTAAGTGCTCTTAACTGACAAGACTAGTATGAAACAGAAAGGAAATTTTAAAAAATATCTCACTCACATAATCACCATCCTGGGGGATGAGAATGTTCATCTCAGACGACTTGGCACTCACAATCTCACAATCCAATGACTCCTCACTGAGGTAGATGTGGCAGCCTTCTGTTTTGTTAATAGAAATGGTTGGCACTTTCCCCATCACCTGCAAAATAAAATCTATTTCACATCAAATCTTAAAATGCAAACAGAGATACTGTTAATAAAATCCTCATTGCCTTCTAGGTCTAATTTTGGCCACTGGCATCTGATCTATGTGTCACCTGCCTGTGTGACATTTTCATTTGATTTGTTGGACACTGAAAATTCTTGGTGGTGGTAACAAAGACCTATACACAACAGCAAACCTGTAATGTACAGCAAGCTTTTAATATACAGTTTATGACAGTACTTCTCTGATTCTCTCTAATTTCAATGGTACTTTTGTGCTGATATTCAGGCAGTGTTCACCTTGTTCAGCAGTGAGTACTGGCTAAGAAATCAAACATGTCAACTTCAACACAGTAAGGGCAAAGGAAAGACAGCATAAAGCAGTACTCAACAAGGTATTTGTAATACACTCTGAAGACTTCAAAGCTTTTGCAGCATGCAACAGGAAAGGGTTTTTATCCTCTTCAGGCAAGCTATAGTACTGAATATGTACTAAGATCAATTTAATTAAATCTCTAAAACTATTTTGTATGTCTCTTTAAAAGCAAGCACAAGATTTACTTCAAGCAAGGAAGGGAAATCTTCTCTTGTTTACAATTTTATAGACTGAAAGATTTCTTCATGGCTAACAGTCTGACTCACTGGTTGTCAGTAAAAAATCCTGCTCCTGCCCTCTCTAGCAAGGATGGCAATATACTCTGGACATCAAAACACTAGAAATTATCCTAGGCCATAGAACAGTGACAGCACATGACAGAGATGTACTTGTTAATGACAGTGTCTCCCATCACTTAATTAAAGTATATCTTTCAACTTCAGTTCCTTAAATGTGGCAGTAAACCAAACAGTCTGTCCTCTTGCATCCCACCCTTATCCATTGAGCTACACAGCAGATCAATGCATCTTGAAGTTTCCCTTCTTAAATGGGTTCTTATGCAATGGAGAATAGAAGGAAGGGGTGTTTAAAAAATTTTGCAATCATCTGGCAAGAAAAAAGATACCACTGAGATAAAGGAGAGACAAGCAATATGGCACTGAAGTCACAATAGCAAAATCTATAGGATTAATTTATTGAAATCTGTTGCATTAACATACCATGTATTTAGACATTATGAACTCAGGTCTTCAAATTACTGAGAAAACTGAGGTGCTTAGCACTTGGCATACACCAGCCCTGTGGGAGCTGCCTGATTCAAGCAGCATACAGCATATAACCAGATCCTGCCTTCCTAAGTGGATCCCCACTCTGTTCCATGACATGCATAGAAGCCTTATGCAATATTCACAGAACATGCTTAATTTTGATTCTAAGAATTTTGATTCTTATGAAAGGTATTTCCACTTTATTTGAGTATTAGCAAGCTGGGGCTTTGCTATTTATTACATACTAATTTTTCAGCTTTCATGAATAGTTTAAGAGGTAATGATTAAAAATAATATAATTATTTTAAACCTGCTCAAATAAGTGCCTGGGATCCTTAACTAATTATCTCCTCTGCTGTAAAAAGACATGTAGTGATCACGAATAAAACTGATTGTTACAGTTCAAAATATAATGCAAGTCACTTGCATAAGGTTCAAAATATAAAAACCCCATCTTGCTCCTATTCCCTGTGGTGGCTGTGACCATTATTTCTGAAACATGGAGCAGGACTGCCTATATTTAATGTCATACAGCAGGCACAGCTTCTTAAGCAAAAGACCTCACTTTGAAGAGTGGCAGTTTGATATAATAATTAACATTTCTTTTTCACTTAAAATATTATGTCCTGGAGTCCCTTCTTGAGATTACACTCTGTGTGTCAGACACAACCCAGTATTAGAGCAGGTAGTTGGACCTCTTTGGAACAGGATGACTGAAGTACTGTAAATGTCAGGCAGACTGTATACTTTGAGCAGGACAAATGTCCCCAGTAGAGAGGGCAATGTGTAGCTTTAAAATATGTGTATCTTCTTTTCATGAGAATCACAAGGAAGATGATCTCTGATTAAGATTTTGAAGGCAAATAAGTACACTACTTAGTTATATAAAGTGTCACATCACTGGCCAGGGAGATTTTTTGAAATCCCAGCACCTACTTTTATGTTATAGCATTTAGTTGTCCTTTGACAGTCTATTTATCAATTAGCTAACTGCTAGAATTTCTTCTGTAAGCACCACTGAAGTTTCAAGTGCTGGGAGTTGCTTAGCATAAAAGCAAGCAGATCAGGGACAGAAGTAACAGCTCTGCCAGTGTACAGATCTCTCAGCTGCACCAGAACCAGAAGGCTATGGGAGGTTTGTTCAGTAATAGTAAATAGTTTTCACAAGCATTTTTAAAAAACATTAGCAGAATTTAGAGCATATAAAGATCCATTTGGACACTTCTTACATTTGTTGTGCCCTGTGAGTTTTTAAAATCTCTTGTAACTACGTGCTGGGCTTTTCTCCTCCCCACTTGTTCTAGGTCTGTCTTCATCTCTCAATTGGATATTTACCTGAATCTGAATATCCCTGGAGTTGATCACTTCCACGATTCCCACAACATTGTCAAACACAAGGCCAAACTTTTTACAGTTGTCTAAAATAAAAGCAATCATAAATAAGAAAGGCAAGACAAAAGCAAATACATGCACACCTGCTACATTAACTATGAAAGCTCCCAGTCCTGCACTGCACAGCTGAGTGACTTTACTCTTATAATCAATCATTAAAGTGAATGGAATGATTCAGATGCATTATTAATCACACAAGTCAGTTTTTTCAAGATTGTCACTTGAAGTCCAGCTGAGCTACCCACTCACCAATAGTAATTGAGTTGATTTTTCCTTTTATCTGAAGTGTAGATTTGTTACACTTAAAAATATAGGCCACTTGCTTGAGTTCAGTGTTGTTAATGACCAGGTCATTCTTATCCTCTTGATATTCCTATTTCAAAAGAAAGTTTATTTAATTGGTTTTCTTTAACTAACAGTCTTTAGCTAACAGTCAGACAGAATTTAGTACAATTTATCCTCCAATCATTGCATCTTCAGTTACAACAGAGCAATATCCTTCCTGTGGCTTAAAATCCTAATCTGCTTGGTGACCAGATATCTCACCTAACTGACCCTTAGATGACACTGTATCTTTTAGAGCTGCAGAGCTGAGGAAGTTGGCACAGACAATGATAAAATCCATTAATTTTGCAGCAAAGATGTTATGCTCACAATTTAAAAAGGCACTCACAAAACGGCTGTTTGGCTCCCATCTGATTCAGACTGAAGAAAAGAGCAAGTTTTCCTTCCCCAAGTGTTACATAATATTGTGGACACATACAGGCATTATCATATATAATAATGGAGTAATAGGCAAAGAAACTTCCTTTCATTAGGCTTAAAAGAACAATTACACTCCATGGATGTCCAGGAAAGCCTAGGGATCCACAAGGAAAGTTCCAAGTAGTAGAACCATAACAACATAATACAGGAAAACAGTGACTGCACCTTATGCAAACTGGACTCCACTGCAATATACACTGACCGTGTATATAACCTTCTGCATGACTAAACCTGCATATTCTTTCTGCTGTCTCTTAACCAACAGAGTCACATCAATTTTCATTCATAGATTCTTTGGTATATGCCTACATAAGTTAACACCCAAACTTTAAACAGATCTCCTTTTTCCATCTGTAGATGGGGCAAAAGGAAAACACTCCTCCTCTTTTAAGCACAGAAGACATGTTTGCATGGAATGGGCAATGAAATATAAATGTATAATTCCACTGGCTAGGGAAACTAGAGAGTGTGGTCTGTGATGACTGCTCTCTCTCGTTCACAGGAATGGCCTGCAAAAAGGCATTTTAATTGGTGTTCTCTAGTGGACTTGTTTCTGGGGCATTGTCTGATTTTTCAAGGAATTCATATGCTGGTTCCGACATTGTCCAGTGAGATGAATTAATAAGTGATTCTCAGAGACAAATTAATCAACTTAAGATCCTACAAGATAGTAAAAGTTGAACTGTAGCAATGCAGAGAAATGAAAGACTCAGCCCTTTTTAGTTGCAACGTTGTTTTGCTGCATGTTAATGACAGACAAGCTGTTTCAGTGCTCCTCCTGGTTTGCAATGTGCCAAGGTGCAATTCAGAGGGGTGACTGGAACTCACCACTCTCCACTTCTTTCCCTCTAGCTCCAAGACAGGGGCATGGCTCTGCTGTGGGGAATTCTTGGGAGAGGTAGGACTTGGAGTATGGCTTTTTGTTGGAGAACGAACAGGTGGGCCTTGGGCACGTAGGCTGGGGTTCTTGTGAGTCTTCTGGTCATCAGAGACATGTCGAAGCCCTAAAAAACCAAAAAGAAAGAGTGCTTGTGAAAGAGAGTCTACTTTCCAATCCTTAAAGTGCTCATGTTGAAGCATGAGAAGTTTGTTTGTAATTGTGTTATGTTATTCTCTGAAATTAATTTTTTTAAAAAATTCCTCAAGGTTTACCTGAAGTGTAACTGCTGACATACTTTTAGCAGATCATATAAAAACTCTTCTACTGTGCATGGGCTCTTAGTATCTTCAACAGAAAATCCCACAATGTCTTCGAGGTCCCTCTCTGTCTGTAGCAAGCTCTGAGAGCTTGTTGTATCATGTTTTTCCATCAGTTTATTTTTCTAATTTATTACAATATTTGATCTATCCCTGCAGCATTAAATGCAAATCTATCAATCATATGTATTTAAATTCACAGATACATACTTAAATTACAACTGTCAAATATTAATACAAAAAGCTTTATTTCACCTGACACGTAAGACGTTTTGACACAGGTTTGTACACTCAATGTGAGTCAGAAAGAGGGATACAACTTTATTGCAATTGCAACTTAAGAGGCTGACCAGTTACTGGGGGCTGAAGATATCCAGCTTGGCTGCCTTAAAATTAAAAGGATACTTCTAAATAGTGTGAATGTCAGGTATACTGAACTTATTTGGGTACTGTGGCTTCTAAAGGAGGTTTTGGTATACAGCCTTCTCCATCAGACCATTGCAAGCCTCAGAAGGATCTGAGCTGCTAGATTGCATCTTAAAAATGCTGTGAAAGCTGTGAAATGCTGTGAAAAATGTAACAGCTCTTGATGTAGTTTGAGTCCTGGATCACAATTCGATTTCTTTTCTCCTGACCTTTGGTAATTGCCTCTCCCTGGTTGAGCTGTGCAAAGAGGGCTGAGCGAGATGCAGTTCCTTCGTCCTTTGCGGTTTCGGTTTCCGTATCGAAGATGGGGGGCGGTCCCGGGGGCGGCGGCGGCGGAGGCGGCGGGGAAAGGCAGGAGCCGCTGGTTAGAACAGATCGCATGGACATGGAGGATGCAACAGGACCCTGTTTGAGACAGAGGGAATTTTACATATAGTGTTTCAAGGAACATTGTATCACAACAGCTCTTATTTATTAGCATCCTTCAATGCTGCGAGTTCGGGTGACTCTAGAAAGCCACAGGCTCAGGAGAATTTCTGGCTTCATAATCGAATATAATCCTAGGAATCCTTCCCTGCACCCGAGCAAGCACAGCTAGAAAGACTGACAGACCACACTTTACCCTTACTCCACCTAAAATATTTGTCTTAAACACTTCTAAGGGCTGATGTTAAAAATCTCTAACAGTAACTATTCCATAATTTATTCCAGTGTTTACTTACGTAAAAAGGAAAATGTCTCCTTTTTTTTTTTTTTTTTCCAGATAAAGAAGATGTTCTGGTACAACACAAATAACTGAGAGGTTCATGAACTGTCAGTTACACATAGGGAACATGATAAATTGTATGCAAGATGTAAAATGCTATCCTTTGAACTGTTCAAGTTATCTGTAAAGATTCAAATACCACAGAATGTAAAATGATGGTGATTCAAATATCTTGATTCTGAAATTCAGTTTTTGAGTTTTCTGTTCAATTTCTTAAATTCTTTTTTCTTTCTTTTTTTTCAGTTGCAAGAGATCACAGCACAAGTTAGGAGTGAAGGGGGCCTTGTCAAAGTAAGTAACACAATCTTTGTTTCAGTTTGCATAATCAAAAGTATATATTTTGATCTGTATTACAATTCCTACATAGAATATTATCAAAAAGATGGAAAATACTAATAATTATCTGACTAAAATTTTATAAGAATGCCCTAACATCCTAATAATAGACGTTAGAGACAATCCGAGAATCACTTTTACTATCCTGCCACTGAGTGTCACTCTGATCCTACCTCTCTGCAGCACAGAAGAAACTTTTAAAAGCACTATTGAGAAAATTAAGATTGGTTCTGATTAGTTCAGGTAGCTACAGAGATACTGTGCATTGCAGCAGCAAATACTAACAGGTGGGCAGATACAATGGCAAAATTACAGGGACTTACGGAGTCACAGCTCCTCTAACTGGCTACCTTTGTTAACAGATACAGGTTGTTACTGCATCCCTGGTAATCCATCCTGGAAACAGATACTGCTTAGCTGGCCTCTAAGGATATTTTTAACCATTTATGGTACTACTCGTTCTGCTTCCCTCTAAACTGAAAAAGCAAAACATTGATCTGGTTCATGCATCTCACAGCAGTGGAAACTACAGCTATTTTTTAAAAAGTAAAATTTGTTCTGGCCTGTAATCCCAAACTGATAACAGGAAAAGGGCTGAGGTTCACATGCTCCTTTTTAACTTACTCTTCAGATATACTTTGAAAAAAAAATAAAAGCCCAAGATCTCCTAAGGGAATAAGCTCTCTTCTTGTTATTAAATCTTTGATCAAATGTAAACAAATTAGAAGATTCTCCTTTTGGAACCAATTATAACTTATTATCAAGATATACTGGGACTAAAGTTGACTGCTTTTAGAGCCATTCCATTGTTACATGGATACATTTAACTCAGAGCTTCTGCTGGGATTCTTCCTTGTTATAGGTCAGTGGTTTAGGCTGGGGACAACTTCTTCACTGAGCCCTCAATTTACAGTGCCTTTTCCCTGCTTCTGCTAGTGCTAGTGAAGTTACCTGCAGCAGAGTCAGCAGAACTGTGAATTACTGTAATTTTAAAAAAACAGGAATGCAAGTGGATTTAGTGGTACAATCAGTTACTGCTGCCTGAGTTGCAATACAGATCTTCCCCTTCTGTTGCCTGCAACCATAGCAACTGAATCCACTATGCCCTGGTTATCCAGAATTATGAACATTGCATTTCCAGGGCTTTTTAAAACACTCAGATACTCAGAAATGGCACTCACCATTCACAGTGTGAACATGCAGTTATGAATTATGTATGCTTTATGAAAGGCAATAGCAGTAATGGCATTGGCTAATAACTTTTAGTCTGAGATAAAAATCCACTTGCCAAATTCCAGACTGACATCTGATTTCTCAAAAATACCTACTGCTTCCACCTGCCTATCAGTACAGGGCTATAATTTTCCAGAAACTTGTGTTAAGTCTCACACATCCACTTAGAATTTACACCACCTAAATTGTGCAAAGGCTGCAAAGATTCATTAGAGAAAAAAATTCTGAAAGCTATCTGGGTATTCTGCATATAACACAGAGTGGTAGGTCACTCTGGCAGTCTCTTTGCTTCAAGTGTCAAGCTCAAGACCATCACAGACCAAGGCAAGACACTCTAGGCTAAAATAATTCTGCTGAGTAGAGTATCAAAGGCAGTTTCCCAAATGGCAACTAAAGTATGGGAATATCCATGTCATGAGCCAGAACTAAAACTCAGAAGGGTTTATCTGTGGAAGGGGGTCATCTCTGTCCCAGAACTCTGAAAGAACTTCCTTGTCAAAGTACAGATAAAAGGAAGATTTTAAACACATCAGTTAAGCTTGGACATGGTTTTGTACGACTGGAGATTGCTGTCATATTTATTTTCAAGAAACAGAAGATGAAGGAAAGGATCTGGGAAACTAGGAGCTTTTTTCCTTTTAGAGCAGTACTGATGAAAAAACAAGTCTACTCAAAAATCTCAATTCTTGACCTGAGCAGCTAAGATATTCTAGCCCTTTTAAGTGGGTTTCAAAAGTAAGAAAAAAATGTATTCATTGCACTCATGCTGCCCATCTGCCTCTTCTTTTCTTTACAAGCCTGGTCCCTCCACCAAAGTCAGTGGTTATCTCCACTGAGCACAAAAGATTTTGAGTTATATTTAATTAAGAACACAGAAGCTATCACAAGGTAAAGACACCTGAGGTTCTGTCACCCTTCCCACTTTTCCTCTTAATTTTGTGCAGTCACAGAAATAAAAGAAAGACTGAACCCTGGTTGTTAGCTTTTCTCCTGCATGTCAAATCTTGTCTAGCTTAAGACCTTAGTTACAGCTACACAAGCTAACTGATATTGTAACATGCTATTTTCAACATCTAGGGCCATTCTGGAAACTGCAAACAATTTCAATCATAAATTGGGCTAGGCAAAATTGAAGGACAAATCACAGGAAAAAAGGTCTCTGAAGTACATGGTTTAACTGCTCCACTGTAGACCTCCCATCTTACAACATGGACTCCTCCAGTAGGACAATCTCCCATGGAAATAAAATGGCATGGAAAAGACAGACAAGTCTCACTAATGAGAGGGTGCACAGACCTGCTGGGAAGGGTACAGTCTAACTCTGGCTACAGTCTTCTTTTTTTTGCCATTTTAATGTACCTAACTGAAATAAAAAATTCAAATGAGGTGAAATTCTTTGTGGGAGAGTGGCTCAGGGAAACTCTCAAAAGGGGGCAGAAAGCACAAAAGTGAACAGGAAATGCAGAATACACATTTCATTTCTTGCATTCCCTGCATGCCAGGAAGATGGGACCTGTGCTGCACTCAGACACACTTATGTAAAGGGCAACTTAAAAATCGGCCATGTGAAGTAGTTCCAGGATGTTTTTTTTTAAAAATTCATTTTGACATCTATTAATAAATGAACCTCCAAGTTACCAACCTCAGTCACTGGCAATTACTTTGCTTTCCTTAGTTATTCTTCTAAGTCAAGTTACACCCTCAGGCTCTAGAATATTTCTGAATCAGGCTCTTAAACTGCTCTGGTATCTGGTACTACTTGTGTGTATAGTCCTATCCAATTTCAACAGAAGTTCCCTTCACAAAGTCCATTCATTTCTGTTCTGTATAGGGTGGTTGTGAGAGCTGCTGGGAATAAAATAGCATGTTACATGCCCACAAAAGTTCATCTATCCTAAAGCAGCAGGTGCTTAGCAGCTTTGCTATTTGTAAACAACTCTTCAGATTAACTTCACGCAGATGTTAACAAGAGTGTGTCTTTACATAAAAAGTATTAGGAGCCATTTGGACCAGTGAAGGCGGTTGTTTGCAAGCTGCCTTTCTTCCTCTTTTATTTCAGCTGTTTGCCTCAGCAACAGCTGCTGTTCTCAGTGCTGTGGTGTCTGCAGACACCAGGTCAAGTTATACTGATTGCTGACTGCTTCCATTAACATGTTTGTAAGGTCATTTTTCCATCATTTGCAAATATGCCCCTAATGAGAATTACCAGGGGACAACAGATAGAGTCATTCTTACTTCGTGAAAATGTAACACAAAAGCAAGCTATAACTTTTAACCTGGTAGCTTTGCATCATAGTGAACTTGATGTGCTTTGAAATGTGCTCCTGGAGCTTTTTGAAATGGAGGGAAATGTAATTCTCTGAGTAAGGTTCTATCAGGAAGAGGAGATGCAGGCCCTGTGACCATGTACTAAGCTCTGTAGGGGATAAAACATTCCAGAAATTTCCCCTCAGGGCTGTCCTCAGCTTCCACCCATGCTCTAAATGGGGTGTCAGGAATGGGTCAGGGTTTGCTCCTTGCTGGATAGGCCCAAGCCATCTGTGGAGAGGCCCAAGAGCCTCCCATTGACTGTGGCAGAGAAGCTTCCTTTAGCAACAGTGTCTGATGCTGCTCACAGTGCTGGGTCTGATAAATGTCACTGTGCAGAGTTTGCAGGATTGCGTACAGCCTCAAAGTATGTTCTATTTCTACCTTCATCTTGTACAACTGGCAGAAGGGTGAGGTACACTACTTCTTCTCACCTAACTGGCTTGCTGGAAGAAAGAAATTATTGTTTATGTTGAGAAAGCTGCCTGGTTGAAATTCTCATTTAACTCCCTTGAAATTACAGCAGAGCTGAGTGAAACCCTTTGCTTTTGAGAAGCTGGGCCTTGTTAAGCACATTTCTCCTAAAGGCTTCCTTCCCCTGGAGCAGAGGGCAAAGCCAATCTTGTTAGAGAAATAAAATGCTGTTCAGATATAACACAAGTGCTCTGGATGCCATACTGTCACTACTTTTCAGTGGCCATATGCAGCTTGACATGTCTTCAGGTCTGAACCCAGCTACCGAGAGACAGTAAGAATTTCTTTT